GGAGTCGCGGCTTCCCGGGTCGGATATTCGTCCCGGATGTTGCCCGGCGAGCAGGAATCGAACTCGGGTCGCCGGGTTCGTGGGGCAACTTACATTCGTCCTCACGATTTGTGGTCGCGTTGACGTTAAAGAAATAACCGATCATATGCTTAACACTGTGGCCAATGTAGCGGCCACGAGTGGCTGTTTTGGGGGTCCCATCTGGTGCTAGCGCAGCCCATTGCGGTTGTCGCCTATCCAAGGGCTAAGCCAGGCTCCGCCCTGCTTAGCTCCCCAGATCTTCCGAGACCCGACGCATCCTCCACACGATTCACGCTCCAGTTCACTCGCTCAGCACGCATCAAGCCCGCTCCTTGTCACTCTTCTATCGCTACTACCGCGGTGTGAACTTCAGCCCCTTGATCTTCTTCCGCCAGGCGTTGAGGACTCGGTCTACGCGAAACCGATTGTTTAACTTCATCCACACTGTGTCAACCACCAACTTGACTCGCTCACCTTCTCAGCCACTCACTACTTCACTCACTCAACCGCTCACGAGCTCACCACACCGCAGGTCACCTCACTCCACTCTCTTTGCTTCTTTCCTCCTACTGCTCCACTCTGGAATTCCCTCCCCCCATCAACGTCTCCTAGTCCTCCAGTTCCCAAGAAAAATAATCATCGTAAGAAACTCGCTCAAATCAACAAACATGTTGCACTCATCTATTGCAACGTTGATATGAGTGCTGTTTGTTGCTGGCCGCTTGCCGTTTTGAGCTTGTGGGCCAGGTGAAGAGATGATGGTGGTGGGTATTTCTTACACAAAGGACTCGCGTACTGATGATCGTGTACCCCAAAACCACTCCTCCCCCACTCCTCTCCCCCCCCCTACTCCCCCCCAACCCACTACGCCCCCCCCCTACTCCCCCATCACCCCTCCACTACTGCCCCCCACCCCCACTACTCCCCCCACCCCACTCCCTCCCCCACCTACTCCCCCACTACTCCCCCACCACTCCCCCCACCCCACTCCTACCCACTCCTCTTCCCACTACCCCCCCTACTCCCCCCCAACCCACTACGCCCCCCACTCCCCCATCACCCCCCACCACTACTCCCCCACACCCACTCCCCCCCCCACCACTCCCCCACCCAACTCCCACCCACTGCTCCCCCCCACCCCCATTCCTCCTCCCGCCTCCCCCATTTATTAATCCCCGACCCACCCTCTGACGTGTTTGCAAGCACCCATTTTTTATAATAATAGTAAACACCAACACAAACTCGTTACATTCGGCAATAACAATGCGTCCTTAACAATAACAAACAAAAAAAGCATACTGGGTGACGTTTCGAGCAATTGGCCTTCTTCACGTAGCGCGCCACTGGCCAAGGCGGACTCTCATCGCCAAATAAGCCGCTCTGAATACCCACCGGTAAAAATCGTTGGGCTCGGTAAAAAAAAAAACCCGGTCTAGACTCTGTTGTGTGTGTATTGAACTTCTCTCGCAGCACCGTACGTGACCAACCATGCTAATCGGAGACGCGGGGGGGGAGGGGTTGATTAGACAACAAACTAAAAATACAAAGTAGCAGTCCTAAAGAAATTGGTTTTAAATCCCGACCGCAAACGTCCCGCGTCCGGTAGAGTCGACGCGAGCGATGGGCTCGGGGCAATGGATCGTCGCATTTTTCCCCATTCACTCGAATGCCGTCGCAAACGTGACGCCACGTCGAAGACGGCCGGCGGTCGAGACTAAAGAAGGAGCGGCGGTCCAACGTGGGTGGGGGGAGGGGGTAAGGCTTGAAATCGACATTCGCGCACAGCTGCAGCGGGGTGGGATTGCTGAGTTACGTGGCCGCGAGATGGGGGAAGGAGGCCTTCGGTCCAGCAGTGGATCGATCGTGGCCTGATTATTGATGCGGACGATGGCGAGAGGGGGTGAGAGGAGGAAGGGGAGGTTGGGTGAGTGTGGGAGAGGGTGAGAGAGAGAGAAGGGATAGGGTGAGTGTAGGAAGAGAGAGGGGTGAGTGTGGGGAGGGAGAGGGGTGAGTGTGGGGAGGTGAGAGGGGTGAGTGTGGGAAGGAGAGAGGGGTGAGTGGTAGGGAAAGAGAGGGGTGAGTGTGGGAAGGGAGAGGGGTGAGTGTAGGAAGGGAGAGGGGTGAGTGTAGGAAGAGAGAGGGATGAGTGTGGGAACAGAGAGGGGTGAGTGTAGGAAGAGAGAGGGGTGAGTGTGGAAAGTGAGAGGGGTGAGTGTAGGAAGTGAGAGGGGTGAGTGTGGGAAGAGAAAGGGGTGAGTGTAGGGAGAGAGAGGGGTGAGTGTAGGAAGAGAGAGGGGTGAGTGTAGGAAGAGAGAGAGGTGAGTGTAGGAAGAGAGAGAGGTGAGTGTAGGAAGGGAGAGGGGTGAGTGTAGGAAGAGAGAGAGGGGTGAGTGTAGGAAGAGAGGGGTGAGTGTAGGAAGGGAGAGGGGTGTGTGTAGGAAGGGAGAGGGGTGAGTGTGGAAAGTGAGACGGGTGAGTGTAGGAAGAGAGAGAGGGGTGAGTGTAGGAAGAGAGAGAGAGGTGAGTGTAGGAAGAGAGAGGGGTAGTGTAGGAAGAGAGGAGGGGTGAGTGTGGGAAGAGAGAGGGGTGAGTGTAGGAAGAGAGAGAGGGGTGAGTGTGGGTGAGTGTGGAAGAGAGAGGGGTGAGTGAGGAAGAGAGAGATGGTGAGTGTAGGAAGGGAGAGGGGTGAGTGTAGGAAGATGAGATGGGTGAGAGTGTAGGAAGGGGAGAGGGGGTGAGTGTGGGGAAGAGAGGGGCTGAGTGTAGGATAGGGCGAGGGGTGAGTGTAGAAGAGAGAGAGGGGGTGAGTGTAGGAAGAGAGGTATGTGAGGAGGAGCAGGGGAGGGAGGGGGCTGAGGAGGGTGAGCAGCTCAGGAATGTTGCCCAGGCGACTGCATTCTCCCTCTCAAACCCAGCTAGGACCGGTCCAGTGCCCCCCTCCAACCACCCCTCCCCCTCCCCCCCCGGGCCCCTCCCCTCAACCCCCACCAACAACAGCGGCACACGAGGCATGACGCGCGCATCGCTCCGCGGTGTAAACACGCGCCGCCCGCGTCACCGCACAGAGGTCGTTCTATTTCCGCCAAACTCGGGATTACTCCGTGGGTTATGGTGGCGATTGTCGTTCGTTGACGCCCGCCGCTGCTGCTGGCGTTGCCAGCGGCGCACAAGCACAGTTAACAATAAGCACAACTAAACTATGGTATTTTATTGTACCGGCTAAAGCCCACTGGACGCCACGGTGGTTGAGATCTTTTGACTCCCTCGCCTGATGTGCAGGAGTTCGTGGGCTCTATCCCCGACCCCCGACGCTCTACTGCTGTATATTTGGAGTTTGCGAGACTCTCTCTCTCTCTCCCCGTGGTTGCGTGGATTTTTCTCCGGGTCCTCCGGTTTTTTCCCCTCCACATTCAGAATCCACGCGTTCAGAGTAGTTGGCTGCTACACATTTGCACGTGGCAAGCCACTTCGTGAGCTATCATTTTGTGATAGCCAGTCGCTTCTGAATACGAGCTCTATAGCTCAGCAGGCCTGGTATACCTGGTAATATGTTTTTAAATGATGTTTTCATAGTTTAATAGAGATTGTGGCTCTGGTTTCAGAGGCGACCTGGCCACGTATGATGATGATGATTCATCATCAACCATCACGGGGCAGAGAGACAGCACGTGGGGACTCCGAATATACAACAACAGTCATCGTCAGTCAGGGTCCGGGATCGAACCCACGGGCTCCTCCATTGCAGGCGACGGAGATGACGTCGCCACGCCACCACGGCGCCCACTAAAAGGCGACGTTTCGGGCTAATGGCCCTTCGTCATAGCACACGACGCGTTAAAATTTACGCGCTCCATTTACGTACGGTGAAGAAGGCTCATTTCCCGAAAACGTACCACACATTTTTTTAAATTTTCCCTTCGAAGGCCACACGCGCAGTGTTATTGACGAACGTGATGAGTGGTTTTGTCGTTGTGTCTATGTGTGTGTGTTCGTTGTTGGCTGCTGGCCAAACATTTCCGGTAGCCGTTTTCAACCCGTGCAAATGGATGGGGATGATGGCGAGGGGGGGTTGTGTGGCGTCTGTGCGCAATGTTTGGATGGGTGGGGGTTTGGGTGGGGTTTGGGTGGGGGGCTGGGTGGGGGTTTGGGGTGGGGGCTGGGTGGGTGGGTGGCTGGGTGGGGTTGGGTGGGGAGCGGTGGTGTAGCGGTTGGCGCGCTGCGCTACGAACCTGGCCACCCGTGTTCGATTCCGCCCGCGGCCAACACCATTGAGGATTCTTTTCAACCGGTCCTGGGTCTCCTCTAGGTCGACTCAGACATCAACTGGTACCGGGCGCGACCGGGCGTGGTGTCTGGCCACCCATTCCCTCGTGTGCCGTGCCCGGCCTCATAGGTGCTCGCTAACAGCGCTTGCCCCACAAGTGTGTTAAGTCTACACGGGGAATCTATGTCTTGGGAATTTTATGGATTCGTTTTTTTTTTTGGTCGGAAACAAACATCGATGGGAGGATTCCTTTACTGACTGTAGGGGAAGGTTTTTGTAAAATTTCGTGCAAAGGAAAAGCCGGCGGGGGGAGAGGGGGGGGTCGCCGCTTTCTGTTTTCCAGGTGTCCGATGTTCGTGTTCAACGGTGTCGCGTGGCGAACATCAATTTAACTCCGTGAATTAACCAATGGAACCCCCCCCCCCACCACATTCCCCCGCCGCCAACCCCCCGGGCCCCCACCCACCCAATCGCATACCCCCCACCCTCTCCCCCTCGTAACGTGAACCCGAGACGCGGGATTGTCGCGAAGAGCAAATGACCCGTGATGGTGGTGATGTTCTCGCGAACGGCACTTGCCCCAACAGTTGTTGAGGCTATACGGGGGTGGGGGTCGTTTTTGTCTTTGGTGGTGACGTGGAGCTGAGTGAACTGGCCCATGACCTGCAGCCAGCGGTGTCAAGATCGCCCTCAGCGGAGGGAGGTTCGTGAAGGACGCCACCGAGGGTTTGGAGGCAGTCGCCATCCAGCAACAACGGAGGAGGGCAGAGGAGCGACGCTCACAACTTGTAACTTTAAACTATTCAACTGAATCCTTCATTTTACCAGGTAAGGTCCCACTCTGAGGCCGTACAGCTCTTTTTCAGAAGCGACCTTGCTCTCGCAAATGATCGGCTCAACGAAGTGACCCTATCGTGTGGAAATGTACAGCAGTGGGAAAATACTCTAAACGCGTGACGTTGATTCTTAGTGTGGAGGAGGGGGGGGGGGGGAACCAGAGGACCCGGAGAATATCCACTCGGCCACAGAAAGAGAGGACACGCAAAGTCCAAATAGCCAAAGCTGTGAAACCAGGCGAGGTGGTTATAACGACTGCGGGGGCACAGTTGGTGGACCTGCCAGCCATCTCAGTCACTCAACCCACTGCACCTGGGCTTGTTTCACCACCTCCTGCTCGCGGGTCTTCAACACTTCACGTGGCCTTCAACACTTCACGTGGGCCTCAAAATGCACCGAGCATGCCACCAGCCGTCGTGATGAACGGCCGGTGTTGTTGATGGTGATGGTGGTGATGATAGGTCGCGCGTTCTGTCTGAGCTCCTTGACGATCCACGGCTCCCCTGAGTGAGTGAGGGAGATTTACAAGCACCGATTTAACTCGAGGAGCGGTGGCGCAAACTGTTAGCGCACCGCACTTAACGCAGCCGGCGTCCGGAGCGTCGATTGCCGCTCACCGAACAATGAACCGTTCCTTGGGCCTCCCCTAGTTCGCCCCAGCCTTTGCACGAGTACCTGGTGCTGAGAATAAACATTAGCACTTGCCCCAACAGTCTGCTAAAGGCTATACGGGGGGTCTTTGTCTTTTTTGAACAAGCACGCGACCGCTCACAACACGCATAACACACACAAAGACAAAGATCCCCTATTAGTGTATAGCCTGTAACAAACCGTTGGGTCAAGTGCTGTTTGCGAGTTGTACCTATGAGGTCCGGCAAGGCACCTCAGGGGTGGTGTGTTCGGAATCACGCACGACCGCCTTTGTCCTCCACAGCGCTGATGTTTACACAGGGCAACAGATTATCAAGACTGAACTGAAACGTGAACTCCTCTCTACATCATCTCAATCGATTACCGACTCACCTTCCCATTCACTCGCTCATTCACTCTCCCTTGCAAACGATACTTTGTCCTGCTCTCTCGAGTTCTCACTTGCTGAAACAAAGTCGATGTGACCAACCCGCCCATCGCCCAGCTCAACCAATGACCCATTTCACCTACTCACTCATTCACTCACTCACTGGCCATTGACACTCGACTATGCTGGTCGAGAGAGCTCTTCTCAGCTTGGTTGAACAGAACGTGAACTTGGCTGTTATTGCACCACGGAAAGTCGAGGGGGGGCGGCGGTGGGTGGGGGGCTGGTGTGGAGGGGGGGTGGGTTGGAGGGGGGGGGGGATTGGCGGGGGGGGGGGCTGTGAATGGGCTGAGTGCATCAGCGCATACAGGAGCGGGGCGTGGGGGGCCGGTCCCGTCTCCCTCGCTCGGAGGGGCGCCCAAAGCAAACACCGCCACCGCGGCGCGAAATCGGCGAGAAGTCGCGCAGGGCGCCGGGGACGCCGGCACCGTCGGCTTCGTGACAGAGCGAGAGAGGGGGAGACTTCGCTCGGTGTGTCTCTGTGTGTGTGTCTCTGTGTGTGTCTGTGTGTGTGTGTGTCTGTGTGTGTGTCTGTGTGTGTTTGTGTGTGGGGAGCGGTAGTGTAGCGGTTAGCGCGCTGCGCTATGAACCTGACGACCCGGGTTCGATTCCCGCTCACGGCCAACACCGGTGACGATTATCTGAATTGGTCCTGGGCCTCCCCTAGGTCGACTCAGCCTCAAATGAGCGCCTAGTGCGGTGTGTAAGCATTGCCACTGGGGAGACAAAGGCGGTCGGGCGTGGTGTTGGCCACCCAACCCCTCGTGTGCCGTGCCGGCCTTTATAGGTGATCCCTAACAGCACTTGCCCCTACAGAATGTTAAGGCTATACCGGGATCTTTGTTTTATGTGTCTGTGTGTGGGGAGCGGTGGTGTAGCGCTGCGCTAAGAACCCTGTGACCCGAATTCGATTCCCGCTCACGGACAATACCAGAGGCGATCATCTGAACCGGTCACGGGTGACTACCCGTATGAATAGGTGACCGTTCATACGGATAGGTGACTTCGTACGGTGCTACTATGAAGAGGATCTTTGTCTTTGTTTGTCGGCGTGTTGAACTCTGCGTGGTTGTGTGTGTTGGCACCATTTCGTCTTTGTTGGCACAGTGGGGTAGCACAGGTAGTAACATCCGGCTGCCAGTAATCTGTAAGTCAACTCATAACCACCTGCGTTCTGTCCCAACAGGCCTTGCACACTTAACACGACCTCAAGGTGCAACTGGCCTGGCACGAGTGCCGTGATGATTGTCGCCGCCACTTAGTGGCGAATGTTATTGTTGCTGTATACGTGGACGCGTATGTATGTTGTGTGGCGAGCGGTCGTGTAGCGGTTAGCGCGCTGCGATACGAACCCCGGTGACAGCGAGTTCGATTACCGCTCACAACACCGGTGACGATTATCTGAACCGGTTCCTGGGCCTCCCCTAGGTCGACTCAGCCTCAAATGAGTACCTGGTGCGCTGTGTAAACATCGCCACTAGGGAAACAAAGGCGGTCGGGCGTGTTGTTGACCTCCCCTAGGTCGACTCAGCCTCAAATTAATACCTGGTGAGGAAATAAAGGCGGCCAGGCGTGGCGTTGGCCACCCACCCCCTCAAGTACCGGGCCCTTCATAGGTGCCCGCTAACAAGACTCGCCCTAGCAGTCGGTTAAAGGCTCTACGGGGGATCTTTGTCTTTGTAGGAGTGGTTAGATGTATGGAGTATGTGCCTATGTTTGTTTTATTTGTGTTAGACCGCGGGTCGGAAAACGACAATTACAAGAAGAGACAGCTTTTTCAAATTGGATTTAAACATACTCTTTGGTTCTATTGGGTAAAGTCACGTAGGTAAAAAATACCCAATAGAACCAAAGAGTATGGATCCTAGCAGTCACGAAAGCTTTAAATCTAGAATGGATTTAAACAACTAAAAAGCTTTATTTCAAGAGGCGCAGTGCGATGTGTTGAATGCGAGACAGTGGTCCCTGACTTAAAGGACTGTCACAAAGCAGCAATCCTCGAAGAGCCGCACACGGCTACGGAGCCGCAGGTTGCTGACCCCTGCCCGTGGTTAATTGACCTTCCATGGTGAACTGAGCTTCCATGGTAAACTGGACTTCCAGGAGCCATGGTAAACTGGACTTCCAGGAGCCATGGTAAACTGGACTTCTTCCATGGTGAACTGGACTTCCATGGTGAACTGACCTTCCATGGTGAACTGAGCTTCCATGGTAAACTGGACTTCCAGGAGCCATGGTAAACTGGACTTCCATGGTGAACTGGACTTCCATGGTGAACTGAGCTTCCATGGTAAACTGGACTTCCAGGAGCCATGGTAAACTGGACTTCCATGGTAAACTGGACTTCCATGGTGAACTGGACTTCTTCCATGGTAAACTGGACTTCCATGGTAAACTGGCCTCCCAGGAGCCATGGTGAACTGGACTTTCATGTTAAACTGGACTTCCATGGTAAACTGGACTTCCATGGTAAACTGGCCTCCCAGGAGCCATGGTAAACTGGACTTCCTTGTAAACTGCCCTCCCATGGACAGACCGATAGGGTCACGACTCATCGACCCAGGTCGCGCGTCTCATGCACCGTGCGCGTGAAAGCCGATTGTCGATTTATGCAAACGATATTGAAATTAACCATATTTCGATTTGAATGGTTAGGCCAAAACAACAACAAAAAACAACGATTGTCTTTAACCCCTCCGCCACCCGCCGAGATTGTCACGTTGACACGGATACCATGGGGGGACATCAACACATCAACACATCAACATGCGTGTGCTGTGATCCACCAACCCTCGTGCCGACGCGGCTGCTGCCGCTGCTTCAGGCGGCCACGTGACCGCGTGGCACACCACCAGCGGCACTCACCACCAAAGACAAAGTTCCCCCGTGTAGCCTGTAACGGACTGTTGGGGCGAGTGCTGTCAGCGAGTGGCACCTTCCAAGGCCAGCACCACGCCCGCCCGGCCGCCTTTGTCTCCCTAGTGGCGATGTTTACACACAGCGCTGGGTAGCCATTTGAAACCGAGTCGACCTATGGGAGGCCCAGGAGCAGGTTCAGATAATCGTCAGCGGTGTTGGTGTTGACCGTGAGCGCGAATCGAACTCTGGTCGCCGGGTTCGTAGCGCGGCGCGCTAACCACCACCACCACCGCCCGGCTTTGAGAATGGCCGTGGTCTGCAAGCGATCGATAAGTGAACAACCCTGCCCCTTGTTACACCCCGCAGTGAATGAGCGCCTCGTGAGTCGAATCACGGACCCCCACGAACCGCAGGTCGAGGTTTTATTTGCGGGGGGGGGGGGGGGGGAGCGTGTTGGAAGGGGGTGGGGGTGATGCCTGCAAGCACGGCTGTGCGTCAATCAAGGGGGGTTAACCTTTGTTCTAAAACGTTATAAACGTTATAAGAACGTCATCCCCTGCGAATGGGCGGAACAAAGTCTCAGTGCTTCCAGATAGGCCGAGACGATGTGGTCACGCAGGTGCATCGTGGTGCTCGTGGTGGTGGTGGTGGTGAGCGACCTGAGATGATGGCAGTCCACAGCTATGCACCCCAATCTCACACTCTAACCCTGACCCCTACACCCTCATTCTCACCCCTACATCCTGACCACTAAACCCTAATCCTGACCCCTACACCCTCATTCTCACCCCTACATCCTGACCACTAAACCCTAATCCTGACCCCTACATCCTGACCACTAAACCCTAACCCTGACCCCTACACCCTCATTCTCACCCCTACATCCTGACCACTAAACCCTAATCCTGACCCCTACATCCTCATTCTCACCCCTACATCCTGACCACTAAACCCTAATCCTGACCCCTACACCCTCATTCTCACCCTTACATCCTGACCACTAAACCCTAATCCTGACCTCTACACACTCATTCTCACCCCTACATCCTGACCACTAAACCCTAACCCTGACCCCTACACCCTCATTCTCACCCCTACATCCTGACCACTAAACCCTAATCCTGACCCCTACACCCTCATTCTCACCCCTACATCCTGACCACTAAACCCTAATCCTGACCCCTACACCCTCATTCTCACCCCTACATCCTGACCACTAAACCCTAATCCTGACCCCTACACCCTCATTCTCACCCCTACATCCTGACCACTAAACCCTAATCCTGACCCCTAAACCCTAACCCTGACCCTCAAACCATAACCCTGACCCCTATGACCCCTATATTCTGACCACTAAACCCTATCCTGACCCCTAACCATAACCCTGACCGCTCAACCCTAATCGTGACCCCTACATCCTAACCATAGCCCCTAAACCCTAAACCTTACCGCAAACCCATAACGGATAACCCTACTCTATAAATGGACATCTGTGATAAAGAACTTCAGAGGTCATTGGATTCCTCCAGGATAAATAATTATTCGGAATTCTGATAACCATAAACCCTAACCCCTATACTCAATCCCTCATCATAAACCCAGAACCCTAAACCCTGTCCCTCAGACTAGACCCTAAACAACTAACGCACACAAAGCCACATTCTCACCAAGTGACAATATACTTAGGCATACACATTTACTGTCCTATACACACATATATAGTCTATATATATCTGTCTGTCCACTAAAACAATAACACGCATTTCTTAACACGCGCAAAAAAGTCGGATTTGGCCAAACGACCCAAATTGGCAATGACTCTCCTGAAATCGCAGTCACGTGACTCAGCGAGGCGTTCCCGTTTCGGCACAGTGGAGTGTGGAGGCCAGCCGCACACGTGCCACGTTCAGTGTTGACATCGGGCGAGGGAAACGGTATCGGACTTTGCTCACTTTCTATGAGCCTCATCAACATCATCATCATCGTTCTTCAGAGGAGGCGTACTCTCTGCAGCCCGTGTGTGTGTGTAGGGGGGCGGTGGTGTAGCAGCTGGAGCGCTGCGCTACAAACCCGGCGACCCGAGTTCGATTCCCGCTCACGGCCACCAACACCGGTGACGATTATTTGAACCGGCCCTGGGCCTTCCCCTAGGTCGACTCAGCCTCAAATGAGTACCTGGCGTGGTGTTTAAGAACATCACCGGGGAGACAAAGGCGGTCGGGCGTGGTGCTGGCCACCCACCCCCTCGTGTACCGTGTCGGCCTTGATAGGTGCTCGCTTATAGCACTTGCCCCAATAATCTGTTCAGGCTATACGGGGGATCTTTGTGTTTTGCACAGACGCCGTGGTGATGTCATTGCTATTTCGTTGTAAACGGTGGCTGTTATTGTGTTTGCTGTCTGGAGGTCGCTATCGATCTCCTGTGAGTCCTATCGCACAATTATTTCCAGTTATCACGGTCTATGAGTGATTCCTCCAAATACCCGCTCACTCACAAACTCACTCACCCATTAACTTACCCGCCAACTCACCCACTCACTCACCCACTCACCCACTCTTTCACCCACTCACTAAACTACTCACTTACTTATCCACATACTCACCCACTCACCCGCTCACTTACCCATTCACCCGCTCACTCACCCATTCACGCACCCACTGACTCCTCCCCACGCGTTGAACCAGTGCTCACAAGCAATTGCCCGAGCTATGGAGTCCTCCATATATTAAGATGCTTTCAGCCAATCAACATAGCTATTTCTGTGACCAGTCACAAGCTAATCCCTCAGCTATTTCAATGACAAATTCTCCTGTTTGATATGTAAACCCCTTTGTCAAGGTGCCTCACTTCTCTCAACCAGCTTAAAAGACGCTACGAATCTTAGCAGCGTTCATTAAAGCTCTGTTGTCCGGGCAGTTTTTGTTCCTTCACCTGAAGAAGGCTACTTGTGTTGTGGCCGAAACGTCGTGAGAATTTTATTTTATTATTTTATTCTCATTCTACGTGACTTTACCGAAATGACCAAAGAAGATGAACCCTTGCAGTCACGAAAGCTTTAAATAGAAATCAACGGGTGTTTATAAATGTGGGAGGAAACCGGAATACCCAGTGGGTGGGGGGGTGTACGAGGGAACAACACGCTATCACATTCAGATGGAACAGGTGGAGTTCACGTTTTTTTGTGCTATAACCTAAAACTAAACTATTTTATTTTATTAGGTAAGCCCCACTGAGCTATGCAGCTCTTTTTTCAGAAGCGACCTGCCCACAAATGACAGCTCAACGAAGCGGCTTATCACATGGAAATTTCGGGCAGCCAAATACTCTAAACGCGTGATGTTGATTCTAAATGTGGAGGGATAAAGCCGGAGGACCCGGAGAAATATCCACGCGGGAGAGAGAGAGAGAGACAAGCACACTCCAAATGTACAGCAGGCGTCAGGGTCGGGATCGAACCCACGACCAGCTGCGTACCAGGCGAGGGAGGTTAACATCACCGAGCCACCGTGATTATGATGAGAGAAAGAGAGAGACACGCAAACTCCAAATGTACAGCAGGCGTCAAGGTCGGGATCGAACCCACGACCAGCTACGTACCAGGCGAGGGAGGTTAACATCACCGAGCCAACGCGGCGAGGTGTACCGCCTTCTCCTGCCAGAGCCCAGGGTACGGCTCAACATGTGGAGGAGGAACGAGGAGAAGGAGGGAGTGAGCAGGAGTGAGCTGCATGGAGGAAGAACAGCGTCGGTTGTCATGAGTATGCGGGGGTGGGGGGTTTGGGGGGTGCTGGTGGGTACGGGAGGAGGGTAATGCGGGGGGGTGTGGGGGGGAGGGGTGGGGCGGATGTGGGGGGGGTGGCTTTGTGCGCCACTCATCTCTGCAAGGCTGAACTTTCGTCTCGGTATGGAATTAAACCTTCATTGTATGCACGCGCGGTTCCTAAGGGACAAAGCAAACCCCTGCCCCCCCCAATATAGAAGTCGAACTCCACCTCTGCTTCTCTTGAACATCCACCACGGAAGAGGCCTCCTTCGGACGCACCTCGTCGTGCGCCAACTGCTGCCCGTTGTTTGCGCCGTAAAACCGGCGCCGTGAAGTTCAAAGTAACACTGCGGTTAAAGCGCAAATGTCACCGGTTAATGCATAACGCGCCCGTTAAGATTGTGGATCGCGCTGTTTTTTGTTGATTTGCTCTTGACTTTGGAGTAATATTGTATCTAAGTTCCCCCCCTCCCCCAACACACACAGAAAGAGAGAGAGAGAGAGAGGACGACTCAGAGGTGCCAGGAGGAAGAGGAACTACTGACGAGGAGAGGGAATGCAGCAGCAGCAGCCACGCGGTGACCGGCCGGGCGCTACCCGATAATTGGCCACGCTCTGCGTGCCTCTACATATTAAGGTGTTATCGGCCAATTAATGATGAGTCTTTAACAATGACGAAGCGCCGGTGTGGACCATGATGATGATGATAATAATAATTACAAACATAACATAATATGGGTTTTTGGGTTATATCGCATAAATATATAAATGTGTCGTTAAAACCCGCCACCACCCGACACAGCCAACTAGTAAGGATTGTCACGTAAACAGAACGCGGCCAATTCGTCGCGAGTACATCACACCGGTGTGTTGGAGAGCCAAGCCACAACATTTACAATCTCAGTGAGACGTTACAAAGTCGATCGACAACGCCTCCTGCCCAATCTGCGTGTGTCTCTTTGCACGTGGACAAATATGAAAGCATATTTCGCACGACGACCTTATCTCGAGTGCTGGTCGCGGTCATCCGTGAGTTGTCTGACCACCCTTGGGGAGGTGTTTAGTAAACACGATAGGGCTGCAGCGAGGGGCGGGGGAGGGGTGGATGGCGAACGATACGGTGTGTGGGGGGGGTGCTGAAAGTCTAACCTCATTGACCACGTGGACTATGGGACTGAACACTTAGCGCGCGCGTGTTTATGGATGGCACGTGACCTCGGGCAAACAAAGACAAAATTCTCAACGGTGTCGCCAAGATTAGGGCTCGCTTTGTTCATGCGCACAAAAGGGCACGTCCATCAGCAGCAGCAGCATCATCATTTGTCATCAGCATCATCATCGTCGGCGGCGGCATCATCACAGTCGCCTTCACCACATGTCGCTGTACGGGGGTTCGCGGTTCGAGACGAGCGGCCGCCCTGGTTAATAATCAGAATCGAATTATTTTTACACACGTAGGATGGTTTTGCGACCAATATTATCCGTAATAAAGTTTTATTTTTTATTAGATCGCGTAAATATAAATGTGTCGTTAATCCCGTGGATACCCATTCATATGCATTCATTAATCGCCCCCGTTCGCACGCCAATGGCTTACAAGTGCCGTCATCACATCGAGCCCTCTATTTCGAACGAAACAGGGGGGCCTCTCCACAAATCTGGCTGTTCACCTGATGAAGCTAGTTGTAATTACTGGCGAAACGTCGTATTCAGATTGTAAATGTTGTGGATTTGCTTTCCAACACACCGGTGCGTCGTACTAGTAACGAATTGGAACGTTTTGTTAGCGTGACAACCCTTGCTAACTGGCTGTGTCGGGTGGTGGCTGGTTTAACGACACAATTATGTTCACGCGATCTCACCAAAAAAAAACCCTCTATTATAAACAAAACATGCCAATTAGTGACTAGTTCAGCACACCGGTGTGTTGGAGAGTAACTTATCCATTTAGCCTCGAGGAATCCGACGAGCCGATGCAGATCTTTTTTTTTTACCCCACAGATGTCCAAATCAATAGCGGCGGTGTGTCGTCCGAGGGGCCTGTGGCTCAAGCGGCATGCAGGGAGCGGGAGGAGGGAAGGGCAGCGCCTCATCCACATGCCCTGCCACGGTCAACCCGATTCGTTGAAATCTCTTAGGGCAGCAATGCAGCCGGCGTAAGTGCAGAACCCCGTTTTACGTGAGCAGGGGTTGAGTATGAGCGTCAACTTGGTACGCTGGAGAACTCGGTTTTAATCGTAGCTCAATCTGCGTGAGTTTATGGGTCTCTCTGTTAGTCTGTGGGTCTCTCTGTGAGTTTATGGGTCTCTCTGTGAGTCTATGGGTCTTTCTGTGAGTGTATGGGTCTCTCTGCGAGTCTATGGGTCTTTCTGTGAGTGTATGGGTCTCTCTGTGAGTGTATGGGTCTATCTGTGAATCTATGGGTCTTTCTGTGAGTCTATGGGTCTCTCTGTGAGTCTATGGGTCTTTCTGTGAGTCTGTGGGTCTCTCTGTTAGTCTATGGGTCTCTCTGTGAGTCTATGGGTCTGTCTGTGAGTCTATGGGTCTCTCTGTGAGTCTATGGGTCTCTCTGTGAGTCTATGGGTCTCTCTGTGAGTCTATGGGTCTTTCTGTGAGTCTATGGGTCTTTCTGTGAGTCTATGGGTCTCTCTGTGAGTCTATGGGTCTCTCTGTGAGTCTATGGGTCTTTTGTGAGTCTATGGGTCTTTCTGTGAGTCTATGGGTCTTTCTGTGAGTCTATGGGTCTTTCTGCGAGTCTATGGGTCTCTCTGTGAGTCTATGGGTCTCTCTGTGAGTCTATGGGTCTTTATGTGAGTCTATGAGTCTTTCTGTGAGTCTATGGGTCTCTCTGTGAGTCTATGGGTCTCTCTGTGAGTCTATGCGTCTTTCTGTGAGTCTATGGGTCTCTTTGTGAGTCTATGGGTCTATGTGAGACCTAAGGATCTCTATGTGAGTTTGTGGGTCTCTCTGTGAGTGTATGGGTCTGTCTGTTCGTCTATGGGTCTCTCAGTGAGTCTATGGATCTATCTGTGAGTCTGTGGGACTCTCTGTGAGTCTGTGGGTCTTTGTGTGGTGGCGATATGTCAACTGTCTTGCCTGGTATGCAGATCATGGGTTCGATCCCGAGCCTGAAGCCTGTTGTATACTTTGAGTTTGCGTCTTCTCCCCGTGGTCGCTTGGATTCTTCTCCAGGGCCTCCGGTTTTAACTGAATGGTGGGGAACCGGTTAAAACCGGTTAGCTGTTGTTCCGCACACTATGCAAAATGTGTATAGCGAAACACGTTAACACCTTTGAACCTGTTTGTAAATGAGCAGCGAAGGCAGTGGTTGGCGTGTGGGGTGCTGGTAGCTGTCAGCGATCGATTCCAGCTCACGGCCAACACCAGTGACGATTATCTGAATCAGTCATGGATCTCCCCTAGGTCGACTCAGCCTCAAATGACTACTTGGTGCGCTTTGTAAATATCGCCACTGGGGAGACAAAGGCGGACGGATGTGGTGCCCGCGCACCCGCCCCCTCGTGTGCTGTGCCTGGGTTCAGAGGTGCTCGCTAACAGCACTTGCCCCAAAAGGCTGTTAAGGCTATATGGGGGAGCTTTGTCATTGTCTTTGGTGATGGTGGTCAGCGCACTGGACTTGCAAGCCCAGAGGTTCACTGCTTCGCCTGCCCATGTCGGTCGCATTCACGACGACAATTGCACTGCATCCGAACCGGCGAATCGCTTCGGCAAACGGTTAACCGGTTTTCCCGGTTTTCGTTTAACAAACCTGATTGTTAACATTCGTTAAAAAAATGTAAGCTCAGAATTTTTGATAATCTAAGAAGATGCACACGTTTGTGTTTATATAATGTGTGGGTTAAGTCACGTGTTGGTAGTTTTGCGCATACAATCGTTTGTCGTGAACCACCTCACCCATCTGACAAGATTGTCACTTTTACAATTATAGTATTTTTTATTTAAAGCTTTCGTAACTGCAGTAATTCATTATCTTAGCTCTTTCGGTAAAGTCACGTTAAAGGGAAACAATACAACAATACAATATATATAAAACAATAAAAAAAATTATCACGACGTTTCGACCATAACACAAACGGTCATCAACAGGTGCTATGGTCGAAACGTCGTGAGAATTTTTTTAATTGTTTTCTATATTGTATTATTTTATTGTTTCCCTTTAACGTGACTTTACCAAAAGAGCTAAGAATATGAATTATAGTATTATCATTATTAATATACAGCATACGTGAGTGTGTTGCTGTGACCTGCAGTGTGATGCTGGTGGTTAAACACAGTGTGGTGGTGCTCGTGGTGTGGTAGCGGGTGGTTTGCGACAAACTACATCAGGGCATGACGAACCTTCCTTACGCGAGTCCCAGGCACAGCTGGCCTGGCTGCCAGTACCTGGTAAGGGCCCCGCTCAGGTTTACGCGGTCCTCTCACTGCCTTGTGAGTGTCTCGGTAGTCAAATGCTCGGGGAGTAAACCCCTACAGAAAACCAGGAGTGGGGCCCCTTAGGCGGTTTTGTGACCCACAGTGGCACATTTCCGGCAGCCCCTGCAGCCAAACTGGTATCAAACGTCGTGCTACGCACTCCTTTGGACCTCAGCAGCATGGCCGACGCGGGGGTTTCTGACGCATGGGCAACCCAGGATTTCCATAGTAACTTGCCCGGCCTTTGCGCCAACAAGAGGTGCAAGATTGGTGGAGAGGACACTCATCGGGCCACCTGAGCGAGGCCAAGAAACACGGACGACAGCAGTCATGGGTTGAAAGCTCATTTTGTATTGGCATAAATTAAATGGGCGCCACAATTTGCCATCGTCGTTGGGAGGGGTCATTGCACCCCAATGGATAACTATTGCCACCCGCCTCAAGCTGGGCAGTCCCCGGCTAATAAGGTGCCCCATTGGGTGCTTGGAGCTTATGGTTCATCACCAGACAAGTGGGCTGCAACACCTGCACCAGGCAAAAGCAAAACAAGAGGAAAGAAGGTTCCAGCCCTTCATTTTGCAAGCTGGCCTCTCCGAAGATCGATTGCAGATTGAGGACATTCGCAAGAGCGCAGTTATCGACAGGGAGCTGGCGAGCCTCCATGTGTGGGTATTTCAGCACTGCAGGAGACCCGGCTTGCTGGCAGTGGTTCACTACGAGAGAGTGACTACATTTTCAGGCTGGCAAGGCAAACAGCAGAAAGCAGAACGAGCCGAGGCAATGTGGTGTTGGATTCGCCGTCAGAAACACGCTCCTTGGCATGATAGAGCCACCAAGCGCAGGATCCCAGCAGATTCTGCTCACGAAACTGCTCACTGCTTCTGGCCATGTAAACATCCTGAGTGTCTACGCCCCAACACTCGACTCACCACCGGAGATTCATGACCAGTTCTTTGAGGAGCTTGACGATATTATTCACAAAATCCCCAGCTCTGAGTGTTTCTGTTGGGAGACTTAAATGCAAGGGTTGGGGCTGACCACGACGTGTGGGCCCACATGCCTTGGCTATCATGGCATCGGGAAAATTGATGCCAGCGGCCAAAGAAAACTGGAGCTCATACCACAATTTCTGTATCACAAACTCGTTCTTTCTCGCAAAACCTTGCCATAAAGTGTCATGGAGACATCCAAGGTCTCTCAATTGGCACCAACTGGACCTCGTCATCACCCCGGCGAGCCCTCCTCAATTCGGTACTCATCACACGCAGCTACCACAGCGCAGTCTGTGACACCGATCACTCGATGGTACCCAGCAAGGTCAGATTACGCCCCAAAAAGATACACCACCTCAAACAAAGCGCTACTGACGCATCAACTCTGCCAAGACCCCCTCCCAGAGCTCATTCAATCATTCCAACACGGGCCTGAGCAGCCCCTACACGACACACCAGATGGAAGCGTGGAGACAAAGGTGGGCGTACATCAGAGACGCCATCTTCAACGCAGCCATCAATACCTTCGGCAAGCAGACAAGGCGGAACACAGACTGGTTTGAGGAACACCTGGCTGTATCGGAACCCATCCTCCAAGCCAAGCGCATGGCGCTCCGGAAGTACAAGCAAGCCCCAAGTACAGGATCGTCAAGGGCTCTGAAAGCTGCCCGCAGTGCAGCTCAAACGACCGCCAGACGCTGCAGACAACAACTACTGGCTGAACCTCGGCAGTAGGATACAACTCGCCTCTAACACTGGTAATATCCGTGCCATGTATGAAGGCATCAAGACAGCCTTTGGTCCAAACATCAGAAGGACTGCCCCCCCCGCCCCCCTCAAATCCAGCACAGGGGCCACCATCACTGATAAACAAGAGCAGATAGCTATGTAGGTAGAACACTACTCTGAGCTCTACTCACGAGACAACGGTGTGTCAGAAGCTGCCCTTGCTGCTGTAAAGCCCCTACCAACGATATACGAACCTTGAAGAACCTTCAAGAAAATTGACAACGCCATCAATTCACTTGCCAGGAGCAAGTCCCCGGGACAGGATGGCATCACACCTGAGGCACTGAAATGTGCAATACCCACCATCCTCACAAAACTCCACGAACTTCTCTGCCAGTGCTGGGAAGAAGGAGCAATGCCTCCGGACACGAGAGACTTTAACATCATCACCCTTCATAAAAACAAGGGTGAGCGTGGGGACTGCATCTCCCTGCTGAGCATTGTGGGGAAAACCTTTGCCCGTGTGGTCCTCAGCAGGTTACAGATACTAGCTAAGGAGGACATCCTGAGGCTCAGTGTGGCTTCAGAACAGGAAGGTCCACCATTGGTACGCTCTTCTCCTTGCATCAGCTACCGCGGAAATGTCACGAACAGAGACACAGGCCTATTGGATTGGTGCTGGTGGTTGAACACAGGTGTGGTGGTGGATGAGACGAAGCAGCCAGTGTCTGGTGGTGTAGACCGAGTGATCAACACGGAGGCTGGATGGAGTAATTAACGAGTGAAGTTCATGGGAACACTATCCGTGATCGTAGCGATAGAAGAGTGATGACGGGGCAACTGACCACTGGTGAGGAGTGTGAGGAAAGAAGCTAGATAAGAGACGTGCTTTGACCTGCATTGGCGGTGTTTGAACTTAGTATGGATGAGTCGACACTGTCTTGAACAATTGGACCCTATGGGTCACGTACTTTGAACAGCCATTAACCAGGAAGCCTCGAAATATTAGGAACCTCGTGGAGAGGATAACGAGACCGGCACACGTGGCACAGTTGTGATCCAGCACTTGAGGCACCAGCAGCAGCGAGGATTGGTGGCTCACACACACACACAGACGTTGTGAAACTCCCTTCCTATAAGCGTCGAAGTGGTACCGTATCCCCTTGACTGCCCAAGCAGCGGCACCAGCAAATGTGGTCTCCCCCTCTTCCTTGTGTGTGGGATACAGGGTTTCCCCCTCGCACGTGGTGGGGTTTTCACCGGATGTTTCGGTTTCCTCCCACGAATTGGTGGATCGCACGCAAATTCGTGCAGCCATCCCTCGAAGTTTCCGTCACCGAGCTGGCCCGGGGTATGGCAGCACAGCAAGTGGGTTGACCTCAACTTGTATCCCATCTGTACAGCGATTGTTGCGTGTCTTTTCCCTCTCATCATCCTCATATCCGACATCGTGGCCCCGCTCTTCCCTTCTCCCCCCTCTCTTCTTAGCTTATTTGGCTTTACTCGGGAAATGCAACTACATTGATTTCAACTTTTTTTTTTTTAACCAGGTAAGGCCCACTGAACTGCAAATAACTTTTGTCCCCAAAAGTGACTTGGCCACAAATGATAGCCCAAACGAAGTGGCTTATCACGTGGAAGTTTATAGCAGCCAAATATTCTAAATACTCAGAGTAAACTTACAATTTTCATTCTTGCTGCTCTATAGCCGTGTCCTGTCTTGGGCTCCTCCTACTGCTCTCGATCCTCATCTCTCCCGACCACGTGCTCTCGTTTCTCCGTTCCTTTTTCCTCACCTCCCATTATCTCTCTACCCCCCTCGCTCCCTCTCGTCCCCCTCTCTCTCTTCATCCGTACGTTCGTCTTGACTCGACTCCCGCCCCCCGTGGTGTGTGCGAGCGCGCGCGTGTGTGCGTGCCACGCGTAAAACCGGTAGCACCATTACAAGAGGGAGGTTGAGCCTGCGGTTCCGGAAAAATGAAAGAAAGTTTTATTGTTATTATTATTTACACGGAATGAGCCACGAGTACAAAAAAGGCACAGGTCGGTGGATCGCGATGCTGGGTGGGAAACAGATCAGCCACAACGAAAGATTCTGGTGCTCGCCATGCCCAAGTGTCATCCCGAACCCAAAAGAACACCCGGGCGTGCGATAGCAATTCCCCATTCTTATGGCGGGAACCCAGTAACATCCAAAACAAATACGAGCCTCCGGTTCATTATTTTTCTCCCCCCCCCCTCCTCGCTCATCAAGGAAGCGGCATTCATTTTATCGGACCGTACAGATGCGATGATGATGATGATGGTCCCAGCCGCACGCACAACTCTCACACTCCGGATTTGTGAACTTCCGACCGAGTTCAGGAGATAATGACCAGAGCGGATAATATAAAAAAAAAAAAAATTGTCGTAGCAGTAATATTAATATCAACAAAAAAATATCCCGCCCCCCTTTAAAAACCACCCAGAAATAAACGTGTACGTAGTTTTATAAAAATAAAACAGCTGAAAAACGTTAAAAGTACAGCAGTAAAAGAAATACTATCACGTGTGTGAGTGTGGGAAGAATCGACTCGCGCCTCTCGTGACCAGCGAGGATCAAAAGCGAACTTCACGTGCGCACGACGGCCAGCTCCGATATACAGCTCACCACCCGGGCACACTACATCAAGTATACCCCTCGCTATGGCGGTGACTACTACTACTCAGTTGCGATATACAAGCAGAGCTAACATTGGCAGCCGGGTCGGTGACAAGCAAAACAATGTTTCCAGTACACGGCACACCACATCCAGCACTTTCCCCTCTCCATCCGTGGCTGCTACCCAGTCACATACCACGACCTACTCCCAACGACTCTGAACATATTAATTGAGAAATTTAATTCCTGGTATACACGTTGATCTCCAACAGCATCACGAACCATCTTCACCATTAAAACAAATTAGCTCCTCTGTTGTCCATTCTTTCAGGTCTCGCACCACGTGAGCTTGTTTCCCCAAAGAAGCTCCCACAGCACGTGAGCGTGAAACGTTGGGCAATCACCCCCCTCCCAAAAAAAAAAGCACACCGAAGGGATAATTCTCTGCTGCGTGTCACGTGAACGAGAGATTGTACATTTGTCCCAATCCTGATATAAACGTCACCTCGACATAATCCCCCCCCATCCCCTTCCTCCTCTTACCTCCTCCTACACAGCAACGTCTTGGACTTGATAATCAAGTCCCCCCCCAGAATGACACCGCCTAGAGTAGGGCGGTCGAGTGGAGTTTAAGCGGCGTCCGTGCGTCGCCCGCCACCGTGGACGCGTGAGGAACCCTCTCGGTGCAGGAGACACTAGAACGCCACGCGTGACCCGTCTGTTTCCATTTTTTTTTTAAACACACTAAAATTCTGATATTATTTTTAAAAACTCGAAACCACGACCGCCACTGCATTTGTCGCCCCCCCCCCCCAAAAAAAAAACAACCCGCCTGTCTACCCCCCCAAAAACAACCCGCCTGTCTACCCCCCCCCAAAACAACCCGCCTGTCTACCCCCCCTACCACCCTTACACAAACTCCTTCATAGAGTAGGTGGTACTCATGGCCCTCCGAGGCTGGTGCGTGTCTTGCACGGTGCGCGGCGCCGACACCGCGTAGGCGCTCTTCGCCGGGCGGTACCCGGGCTCGTCCTTGGGGGGGCACGAGCACGCGAGCAGCGCCCCCCCGGCCACCAGCATGAAGGCCGAGATCCAGCCGAGGTAGAGAGCTCCCCCGAGCTCACGCTTGAGGGCCTCGGGCACGCTGGGGTTGTAGAAGTCGCGGATGATGGCGTTGGCCGTCCAGCACACGGGGATGAGGACGATGAGGGCGGCAATGATGAAGAGGAAGCCGCCCGACATGGCGATGTACGCCTTGGCGCGTTCGTTCTCGACGCAGTGCGTGCACTGCATGCCCAGGGTCGCGATGAGCATGGCCAGGGTGCCCAGGGCCACGCTCACGCACATGAGGCCGCGCGCCGCCTGCATGTCCGGGGTGAGCGCCAGCAGAGAGTCGTAGACCTGTGCACGCCGGGGCAGTCACACGGAACGAGAGTGGGTCAATTGGGGTGGCGGAGCCAGTGGGGGGGGGGGGGGAGGATAGCACTTGCCCCCCCAAAATGATTCGATCGAAATCCCTAATCATTGGGGTTTATTAGTAACAAATCGGCATTTTGGACCTCCACTGCCACTGTGTAGCATATTATTACGTGCCAGGGATTCTATGAGATGATAGGACAATAGTCTGAGTCCATAATTGGAAATAGGTAACGGCAAAGCGGTTATAAGTGACTCATATAATTGTGCGCAGTTGCGTCTACAGTAGACGACTTCCCTGCAGGCATCAACACCTTCAGCGAGCGCGATGCCGATCACACAACGCGGTTCGAATTCGACTCTCGATCGATGGCTGCGTCATCGCCGCACACGTGTCGAATAAAAAGGCAAGGGACAAGTCCTTACTAACAACTCCTTACTAACAATTCCTTACTTACTAACAACTCCTCACTAACAAGTCCTCACTAACAACTCCTCGATCATTTTTCATTGCTGGAGGGGTTGCCCTCCCCATCGGAAATCCTGACTCCGCCATTGGGGGGGAGCGGGTACAGGGGAGCGGGCCGTAGGCGCCATACTTCACCCAGGCTGGGTGGTAAATAAAAAAGGGAGAGCGGAAAGATAATCGCCACCAATGTTAGCCGTGGTATTTGAATGAGAGTCGCCGGGCTCGTAGCGGGAGTTGTGGATGGTAGTGCGCTGCTAACCACTGCGCCACCGCTCTACTTGCTCGTGGGAGTAGGTTGCTCTAGAAGCCGTTCGCTGTTGCGACTGTCGTGGTGAGATTGTTGTTGTTGTTGCTGCTGCTGCGTTCAACAGGGCACCATTTATTGCTGCCTTTGGCAGTGGCGCACAACCCACAAACCAAGAAATCACGCCGCACATTGGCCGGCTACACTTTGGCCCGAATACAAATATATAAATATTGCATCGAGTTGGTGACGTTTCGAGGGGGACGGGGGGGGGAGTGTGGATGGGGTGGGAGATCTGTCCGAACAAAAATCGCCTTTTCCTACATCGAGTCGAGTTGGTCAGTGTCGCTCTGGCTCTCTCGTGCCCCCCGAGATTGAAGCGACCGCTGGAAGTGATCTTCACATCGGCTCACCGTGGGCACGAGAGTTGGCAAGCCCCCCTCTCCGCCCCCCCACCCCCCCCCGAAATCATAAAAATGCCGCCACTTGTTGTTTTTTGTTCAGGCGATTTGTTGATCGGACCGAGACCATCCATCAACAAACCTCGCAAACACCGGAAAACCCTGCCGCCGTTCTGAATATCGAGCGGCGTCTGGAGAAACGTGGGATTCAAACTGTGGACCTCGAGCGGGCACTGGTTCCACGCACCTGACCCTCAGACCCCCCCTCCCCAACTCAGCCCCCTCAATTAATCATTAATATACTTCACGCGGCTTCACAACATCAAAAGGAGCAACAAAGACAAATATCCCCCGTATAGCCCGTAACAGGATGTTGGGGTAAGTGCTGTTAGCGAACACCTATTAAGGCCGGTACTGCACGCGAGAGGGTGGGGGTGGCCAGCACCACGCACGGCGGCCTTTGTCTCCCTAGTGGCGATGTTTACACACCGCACCAGGTACACTCGAGGCTAAGTCGACCCAGGGGAGGCCCAGGACCGGTTTAGATAATCATCAGTGGTGTTTGCCGTGAGCGGGAATCGAACACACACACACACACCCCGATCCCCCTTCAGTTCCACAATAAAGACTCCCCCCCCCGTGACCATTTCAGGCGACGTCTGCTCATCTGATGAATTATAAAATGGAATAGAATGACTGCCGTGTAAATTCTAAGAGAGACATTTGCGGTGTCATTTTCCGAAGCACGTGGTGGGAGTGGAGGCGAGCGGGCAGGCGACGAGGAGGGGGGGGGGTAAGGATGGTCCCGGCCCTGCACGGATCACGAATGCCAGTGGAAACGCTGCACTAACCGAGGCAACGTCTGAATGACGTGTGGCACGGTTGCGTCGCGTCACGGTGCGGATAAAACCGGTTCTTGCGAGAACGTGTTCGGAACCAGTTGTTGTATATCCATTTATTAATAGTTATTTTTAGAATGGACGGGCGCTATTTTTCTTGAGGTCGCCAGAATACAGATACAACATAACATGTCGAGGGTGTTCATGAACCAAGTCGTGCGGAACCTCCACGTGCTCATTAACTGTGGGAAAGGGGCCGTCCATAAATGACGCCACGCGATTTTGGAAGATTTTTCCCCCCGCCCCCCCTCGTCACACGGCGTCACAAAAAGTCAGATTCCCCCCCCCCCTCAAATATGAAGTCACAAAGCTCTGCCCCCCCCCCAAAACCATATTTCCATTTTGAAAATAAAACATGCTTCAAATCGCTTTAAACTATTGTAGTGCGTATTTAATGTGGCGCTGCACTCTGATGTTGTAGGAGAAACCATTTATTAAAAAGCCTATTTAATTAAGTAGAACGTGTTGTCTATATTTATTTAAAGTTGCAGCATTTTGATGTGACGTCACATTTCTCACCGCCCCCCCCCCCCTCGTCACACATCGTCACAAATATCTGACACCCCCCCCTCCCCCAGGTGCGTCACGTCATTTATGGACGGCCCCAAACTTAAAAAAAATATTTCTTTGGGAGGTAAGGGTTGGTGGATCACTTGAAGAGATGTGAAAAAAAAACCAAATAATCTCAGCGGCCGCTGAGGGCCGTGAGACGTGCAGTGCGAGCAAGTGGGGGGCTCCATTTGAATACGGGCGCGTGCGTTCATCGGCAACATTCGACTCCTCCCCCCCTCAACTCTCCCAACCTCCAGCACACTGGAGGCCGCTACAACCACCAGCGCAGTGTGAAACATCGCGCCTTTCAATGTGCTCCTAAGAAGTGCCACCGTTGGAAGCGGCGCATATGATAACAAATTGCGTTATTTTAGTATAAACCCACAGCGATACGGACACGGAATGTGCGGTGGAGTTGTTCAGCGGTCCTCTTTGGCTCTTTCGGTCGCGTGAGAGCGGAATCGGTCCAAAATGCCCTCTGCGGATCGCCTTGTCTTTTACAAAAACACCGCACTGAACTGGGGAAAGTATGGTCAAATAAAAACCCACGCGGGCGCGGTCGGGCTGTGGGTGGCGCGGCGGGAGGCCCCTTCATCTGGCAGTGCAGAGATCGTGGCCAAGAAACGATCTCGTGATGAGGACTCGGCAAGCGACCCGTCTGTGGATGCCGCAGAGTCCGAGGATGCCGCGTTGGCAGCGGATGCGCAGAGACGCCGCGCAGGCAAAACTCGCGCCCGTCACCAGCGGAACCGCGGCGCTCACCCCGAGTGGACTATCGAGACACCCCTCTCCCGATCCTCCTCCAGCCCCCCCCCCCCAGGCTCCCTCCGCCATGCCCCCTGGGCCCCCTCCGCCATGCCCCCTGGGCCCCCCGGAACCCCCCAGGGAGCAGCTACCCAATCGCTTTGGTGTGCGCGGAGAGCGGTGACGCAGTGGTTAGCGCGCCGCGCTACCAACCTGGGCGATGCGAATTTCGTCTCCCGCTCACGGACGCCAACACCGGTGAGGAATATCTGAACCGGTCCTGGGCGACCCCTAGGTCGACTCGGCCTAAAAAAAGTAGTACCTGGTGCGACGTGTAAACATCGCCGCGGGGGATGACGAAGGCGGCCGGGCGTGGTGCTGGCACACCCACCCCACTCGTGTGCTGTGCCGGCCTTCATTAGGTGCTAATCGATAGCAGCACTTGCCACAACAATATGTTAAGGCTATACTGGGGGGGGGGGGGGGGGGGGGAATCTTGTCTTTTGGGAGCGGTCGTGTCGTGGTTAGTGCGCTGCGCTACCAAATCCGGGCGATCTGAATTCGATTCCCGCACACGGGTCAACGCATTGATCGGGTGACGAAATATCTGGAAGCGGTTCTGAACGTCCCCTCGATCGACTCGGCCTTTAAAACTATTACAATGGTGTGGTGAAAATAAAAAAAAATCTACATTGGTGAGACAAAGGCGGCCGGGCGTGGTCTTGGCCCCACCACTACCTTGTGGATCGCGCCAGCGTTAACAATTGGTGCTGCTACCCTAAGAACACTTGACCCAACATTCTGTTCAAGTCTATACGGGTGATCTTTGTAGGCATTTTAAAAAAATGTGACACACACGAAAACCGCCGTTCGCCACTACGTGGCGGTGACGTCACCGCGGCGCTTGTGCCAGGCTAGGTGCACCTTGAGACCACAGCGAGAGAGAGAGAGAGGTGCCCGTTACCTTGCATTGCTGCTGGCCCGTTGCCTGCGAGACGCACTGCATCCAAATGCCCTCCCAGAACACCTGGCCGACCACGATGTTGGCCGAGTTGGGCAGGAAGGCGGTGACGCGCCACTGCGGCAGAACCGTCACGGCTATGCTGCCGATCCAGCCCAGGATTCCCAGGGCGATTCCGGCGATCTGCAGAGCGGCGTTCGCCATCTCGGGGTGTTGGACGGGATGGGTTTAGGGTCCACGGGTAGACGAGTTGGTTCTACGGCGTTCGCTCTCGGCTAGGTGGCTGATGTCCTCTTGCACCTTTGCCCGCCCCTCCTCCTCCTCCTGTCCCCTCTCCCTTCCTCTCCGCTTAGCGAGAACCTCCGAGTGCGATTTAAAAAAATAACTCTATTCTTTTTTTTATTTTTGTCACCTGACCCCCCCCTCCCCCCTACCAATTAATTCCACCTGCGTCCGAAATTACTTGGGATGGGTGGGGGGCAATTGAATGAGCTGATCAAACAATGGAGCCCGGTTAATTTGAGAAGGAGAAAAAAAAACCTATCGCCGCGATGGTGTTCAATGAGATGTCTCAACAGGAGCGTGGTGCTCGTGGCCGCAGGTGAGTGAGCGAGTGAGCGGGAATCCGGGGGTGTCTCTCTATCTCTCTCGCTCTGTCCGCTTCGAGAAGCCGTAACCTGAGCCACCACCCCTCGCGTGGACGCGGTGTGGGGGTCGAGCCGGGCGCAACTCGCGATTGGCTGGCGTCCTGAGTTTAATTGGCTCACCCCCAACCGCGCAAACGCACACAGCCGCGTGTAACCACCCCTCCACACACACACCTCGCCAACCCTCCCCTCCCACAATCACCCACCCACACACACTTCCACACCCGGCCCTACGCACACACCCACACACTCCCACTGCACACCGCGCCTACGCACACACCCACACACACATACACTCCCACACACATAAACAAAGAAAAAAAGACAAAGATTCCCCGTATAGCCTTCAAGATACTGTTGGGACAAGGGCAGCTAGCGAGCACCTATTAAGGCCGGAACCGCACATGGGGAGGTAGGTGGCCAGCATCACGTCTGGGCCGCCTTTGTCTCCCTAGTGGCAATGTATAAACGTCGCACCAGGTAATCATTTGAGGCTGAGTCGACCTAGGAGAGGTCCAGGACCGGTTCAGATAATCCTCACCGTGGCATTGGCCGTGAGCGGGAATCGAACTCGGCTCGCCGGGTTCGTAGCGCAGCGCGCTAACCACTACACTACCGCTCACCTCTCGACCCCCACACACCACGACACACACACAGACACTCCCGCTACACACCACGAGTCCACGCCCCTCCTTCACCTCCCCACGCCGCAACATCACCACGCAACCCCCTTGCCACAACCCCTCCTCCCCCAGCAACCACCTAACCGACACAAAGACAAAGACCCCCCCCGTGTAGCCTTAACATCCTCTTGGGGCAAGTGCTGTTAGCGAGTAGCACTTACCAGGCCCGGCCGGAACGGCACGAGAGGCGGTGGGTGGCCCGCACCACTGCCGGCCGCCTTTGTCTCCCGAGTGGCGATGTTTACACACCGCACCAGGTACTCATTTGATGCCTAGGGGGTCGCCCAGGACCCGGTTCAGATTATTCCTCACCGGTGTTCGTGAGCGGGAATTGGAATTCGGGTCGCCCAGGTTGGTAGCGCGGCGCGCTAACCACTGCACCACCGCTCCCGGCACACCAAAGCGATTGAGTAGTTGCTCCCTGGGGGGGCAAAGGGCCTTGGGGGGGGGGGTTGGGTTGGGCGGGGGGACCGGGGGAGGGAGGGAGGGGGGTCCTCGATAGTCCACTCGGGGTGAGCGCCGCGGTGCAGCTGGTCACGGACGCGAGTTTTGCCTGCGCGGCGTCTCTGCGCATCGCTGCCAACGCGGCATCCTCAGACTCTGCGTGGCATTTCTCAGACGGCTGCTTGCCGAGTCATCATAACGAGATCGTTATTGGCCACGATCTATCCACTGCTAGATGAAGCCCCCCCCCCCCCCCGCCCCTTGCTGCCCACCATTCCGCGTGGGTTTTATTTGACCAGACGACACTCACGTCTCTTCACGATGCCGCCACATCACTCACCATGCCGCCAGCCACACAATGCGCACCTTGATACATGGCGGTGTGAAGCGCCCAAAGGTCGTGGTCGTGGCGGGTGGATAGTTACGGTGGTCGTAGGTGGTGGAGGGCGTGAGGGGTGGATGGTTAGTGATGGTGGTGCTAAGTGGTGGTGTGGTGGATGGTGGGTGGCCAGTTATGGTGGTGGCACACGGTGGTGTAGTGGGTGGATGGTGGATAGTGATAGCAGGTAGTCAAGTGCATAGTTGAGCTGTTGTTCTTGGTTCTTTCGGTAAAGTCACGTAGAATGAGAATAAAACAATAAAACAAAATAAGACAATAAAAGTCTCACGACGTTTCGGCCACAACACAAGTACGCCTTCTTCAGGTGAAGGAACAGAACTGTCGGGACGACAGCGCTTCAATGAACGCTGCTAAGATTCGCAGCGTCTTTTAAGCTAGGTGGGAGAAATAAAGCGCCTTGACAAAGGAGTTTACATATCAAACAGGAGAATTTAGCATTGAAATAGCTGTGTTAAAGTGTTGGATCAGCAGGGTGTTAAAGTCAGAAATTAGCATGTAACTGGGAGATTAGCATGATGTTAATGTGAGGGATTAGCATGTGACTGGTCACGGAAATAGCTATGTTAAAGTCAAAGTTTACATATCAACAGAGGCATTTAGTATATGGACGCTAAAGGACTGCAACTACCCAACTATCATACAATAAACCGATGTGAAAAAACTAAGTATAAACTACATCAATATAATAAATGTACTCAATATATTCTTCAATAAGTTGAGCTATTAACATAAAGTAACTGGGTATACACTACACTATATATTGAATACCATATAGTAAACTAATAAAAAAAAAAACTTAAATATAAACTACATCAATGTTATCAATAAACTCTATATACTCTCCAATCAGCTGAGCTACTAACAATAAGTCGTTATACATTACAATGCCATATGGCGAAAAAATGGGTGGCGGTTTTTTATTTTCAACGTGAGCACCACGGACAGCGACGAGCTTTGTTCAGACGGACGAGTCCATCTATACTCGGAACGGAGGAGGGGGGAGAAACAGCCACGATGCGCTGTTATACTCCATGTTATAAACCATACCATTAACCGTGGTGTGAGAGGTATTAAGAGGCAATGCCAGCGAAAGGGCTGCGGTCTGAAGGTCACCGTAAAATACAATTAATTAAGAACCGAAATGGTTAAAACATCTTTCTCAACTTATTGAAGAATATATTGAGTACATTTATTATATTGATGTAGTTTATACTTCGTTTTTTCACATCGGTTTATTGTATGATAGTTGAGTAGTTGCAGTCCTTTAGCGTCCATATACTAAATGCCTCTGTTGATATGTAAACTTTGATTTTAACATAGCTATTTCCGTGACTAGTCACATGCTATTCCTTCACATTAACATCATGCTAATCTCCCAGTTACATGCTAATTTCTGACTTTAGCACCCTGCTGATCCAACACTTTAACACAGCTATTTCAATGCTAAATTCTCCTGTTTGATATGTAAACTCCTTTGTCAAGGCGCTTTACCTCTCCCACCTAGCTTAAAAGACGCTGCGAATCTTAGCAGCGTTCATTGAAGCGCTGTCGTTCCGACAGTTCTGTTCCTTCACCTGAAGAAGGCTACTTGTGTTGTGGCCGAAACGCCGTGATAATTGTATTGTCTTATCTTGTTTTATTGTTTTATTCTCATTCTACGTGACTTTACCGAAAGAACCAAGAAGATTAATCCTTGCAGTCACGAAAGCTTTAAATCGAAATTGTGCTGTTGTTGTTGGCTCTATGCAGCGATTGTATATGTTCCAGGCACGCGTGGATGAGTGTGGGTGTGTTTCACGGCCAGCTTGGTTGACAAACATCTGAACCGGTCGTGTGCCTTCCCCTAGGTCGACTCATCCACAAATGAGTACCTGGCGAGGTGTGTAAACATCGCCACTGGGGATACAAAAGCCAGGCCTGACGCAGGTGTGTTTCTATTGTTGTCGGTATAGGCGTTCGCTAACAGTAACTTGCCCCCACATTCCGTAAAAGGCTACGTGGGGTTCTTTGTACATGCAAACCTTGCATCTTCCCTTCTCTCTCATTCTCTGACTCCCATTCAATCCTACCTTTGCATACCGCGTGTTTCCATCTCAAAGGCCAACATACCTGGGTGGGCTCCGCGTCTTCTCTGCGTGAGGTGCGCGCCAGGGGTCAGCACCTCTCGACCCTTGTGTGCAGGAGGCTGCGATCAAGCATCGAACCGGCAACCTCTGAATTGCAATTCCAGTAGTGCTGTTCATCATTTCCCCACTGAGACAGAGTCCTAGAACCCACGTAATACATACACACACGGACAAAGATCCCCCGTGTAGCCTTTACACTGTTGGGGCAAGTGTTCTTCGCGAGCACCTGTGAAGGCCGACACGGCACGCGAGGGTGCGGGTGGCCAGCATCACGCCCGACCGCCTTCGTCTCCCCAGCGGTGATGTTTACACACCACGCATTTGAGGCTGAGTAGACCTAGGGGAGGCCCATGACCGGTTCAGATAATCGTCACTGGTGTTGGTGGCCGTGAGCGGGTATCGAACGCGGGTCGCCGGGTTTGTAACGCAGCGCTCCATATACAAAAGACACAAATCCCCCGTATAGCAGTAACAGACTGTAGGGGCAAGTGCTGTTAGCGAGCACCTATGAAGGCCGGCACGGCACGCGAGGGGGGTGGGTGGCCAACACCACGCCCGGCCGCCTTTGTTTCCCTAGTGGCGATGTTTTTACGCACCGCACCAGGTACTCATTCGAGGCTGACTCGACCTACGGGATTGCCCCGCAAAAAGGTTCAGATAATCGTCACTGGTGTTGGTGGCCGTGAGCGGTTATCGAACTCGGGTCGCTGAGTTCTAAGCGCAGCGCTCCGTACACAACGCACACGCACCACATACGCGAGTTTGTAGCCAATATATAAAGGTTGCGTTGGATAGGGCAGGGGTGGGGGTTGCTCATAGTTTACATGGAGTGCTCTTGCCAATAACAAACGGTGGTGGTGGTGGCAGCAGAAATATGCGACGTCAAAAGATGCAGGCGACTTCCTTCGCACGAGTTCGCCCCCAGTGTGCCCGGCGTCACGGTTAGAAGTTTTAACGGTTGGCAAATTGTTGAAAGAAAGAAAATGACAAAAAAAACATCGCACGCACACACCGCAGGACGCCTCCTGAAGACCAGTCACGTGACTCGGCGAAGCTTCCTCAATAACCTGCGGGGGTGACACGAAACGTCGTCTCGGGAATGCTCGCGGTCGTAATCGTCGCGAGGGAACGGGGGGGGGGTGGGGGGGGCGGCGTTTGTTGTCTGGGCAACCCGAGCGCCAGGTATGACAGATCGAGGGATAAAAATAGCAACCGGACCCACTCGTCGTGGTGGAGGTGGCGATGATGCCCTTTTTGTGGAGGGGGTGGGGGGGGGATGATGTCACGTGGCCGATGCACTGCGATCCCGGCTGTCGCCCCGTGAGTTGGAACTCGAATCCAGCCGCCGTGCTGGGGTCGCGAGACGCAAGGGGAGCGGCATCGTCGATGCGCACGTTGTTGTCCTTTCCACCCCGCGCCTCCGATTAGCAAGGGTTGGCCACGTACGGTGCGAA